CATAGTAAAAGAATTCAGCGCCTCGTGCAAGTCTCATGCAAGTTTCGATCACACTCAAAGATTAAGAAACGAATTTTGAATCAAAATTTGAACACTTTTTATTTTGTTTCCAATCGAGTCTAATCAAGGGGGAAAAAATAATGTTTGACCCTATGGTTCATCTATTATGAAAAAGCTAATGGGCTTTTGGAGCATTAGTTAGGCAGAACTCAGAAGGCCACTAGTCAGGAAGGAAAAACTCAAAAAAGTGAAACAAAGATGCCTGTGGACCTCTCATATTGGAGAATGGAAAGCGTGGCGTTTAGTGGTTTTGTCGTTGTGAATGTTTTTGTGGCTTCATATAATGTGTGGGTGCTGTTTTGTGGGCGGTTTATTCTTGGACGAAACATTCATCATCACCATCATCAATGTCGCGATAAAGGAAGGGTATCCATCGCGTAACGTGGGGGCAAGGAGATAGATAAGGTAACTCGATGACTAATCTACCATCTTAAAGTGCCTCGTATTAAACTATGACACAATCTAAGGGTTGTTTTTCCACATATAAATGATTTTTGTAAATCTTTTCTCCATAATGATGCTATTCTACAATAATTTCTCAAGGTATTTGGTGATTTGGCGGGCAAATGTACCTTTTAAACAAGCGATATAAGAATATCGCGACTCATAATAGCGACATAACATAAACCCGCAAGTTAAAAACATCGACATAAGGATTAGTGGTCATGAGACATGTGGCATGTAGTGGTTGGTTGAGGAGGAGAGACGAGGATCATGGGAGGCCAACGAGATATATGACGTGTGGGCTTAGATTGTGTGGCTGAAACGCGACCTTGCTGTGTCGCCACTCCGGATGGTGATCTTTTGAATAGGCGACTTTGCTTATGGCGCCCCCACCTGGAAAATCTCATCCAGGTTGGGTTATTTATCACAGGACATGGGTCGGGGCAGGTCAACCCATATGAGTACGTAATTTAAAAGAAAAACATTAGAAATATTCATTTTTTTATTAAAATAACCAAGAAACAAACTAAAATATGATAATGTAGTTAAATTATTAAAAAAATATGAGGTTCTCACCTATTTATAACTAGCACAAGGTAATAGTAGTAAAATTATAAGTAATTTGAGTAAAATTACATGTATTTTAGGCATCAACGGGTTGAGAATGGGGCGAGTCAAGGAGGATCAGGTCGAGGAGAGTACCCATGCTCGTCCGCTCCACCTACGGGTCGGATCCTCCTCAAAACAGATTGATTAAAACGGGTCAAGTCAAAATTGAAATCCATAGTCACAATGAGTGTGTTACCATCTCAAGACAATGGTGACCACTTTGGCAGTACCTCGATGCTAGATGACTCAGTGATATCCATACTTACCCTTCTTGTATGATATCATGCTTGACAATACCTTGATGCTAGATGACTTAGTGATCTCCATGTTGACCCCCTTGTACGATGTCATTCTTGATACCTAGGTTCTCTACCATGTGGGGTGTGCATGTTTGACATGAGTCTTAATGGCCTCGTTGGGTATTTACCATGCTTCATACCTTGGTTCTCTACCCATAATGTGTATCTTGTTTTGTGTATCTTGTTTGACTGCTTGAGGATGAGGGTTCACATGTCTACTCTTCTTGTATGATGTCATGTTTGACGTCTAGGTACTTATGGGGGTTGACGTCGTGGCAGTTGATGAATGCACACTAACCCCTTAAGGTGTCATAATACTTGTAGGGTCTTGATGAGTGATACTCATGGTTGCCCCCTTGAATAATATCATGATTGACACCTAAGTGTTAGGTGGATGCGCATCAACCATCTAAGATGATGTCATGCTTGACACACAAATACTTGATGGGTTGGGATGTACGCACTGACCCTCTAGGGTGATGTCATGCTTGATGACTTGGAACGACGTATACCCACGCAACCCCATTGGATGATGTAATGCTTGATGGGTTGGTGGCGAGTAAGTGTACACTGAGGTACCTTGCATGACATGACATATAACCCAAAAGTCCATCACTAGTACCCATCTTAAACCAATTTAATTAACATGGTTAAATTGGCCTTATAAATCGCAACTTCTTCAATTTAATCCATGTGGTATTAATGGGTCGTTTGCTTCATGAATTTGAAAAATGAGGGTTTTGGTAAAACTTTGGTTTTGGAAAACCATGGATATATGATGGATTTGGCGGCATTATGGATTTGACCAAGTCTATTATTTGCTTGTTGGATTTGATTATAGATTTTGTTTGAATAGATTTGTGGATATGAAATTCAAATTACCTTGTTACCCTTATCTTATCTAATTGTATTTCTATATTATAATCCATAAATTTCATTAAAAAAATCCAACGCATACAATGAAATTTTAAATTCTTTACCACTATGTGGACTAATAATTCAACTACAAATATAGAAATGTATTATAGTTTGACACTAATTAACAACTCATCTAATAATGTACGCAATATTATGTATCAATTGCAACCAATTGCTCGCTTTATTGCTACAACTCATCAACTTCTTGCTAACTCCCCGATTTTCGAATCCGACAATCAATCAAATAATAATGCACAAGACGAGCATAAGATGTTTATAGTTGAATCTAACAAATCACATATACATTCATATTTAAACAAACTATGATATTACAAAACGAAATGAAAAATTCTCATATATATAAAAGACGACATTATAAAAGTTTATAATTGCATGACCATTGAATTAAAGTAGGACAACTTTGTAATTAAAGTAATAAGTAAGGGTAGAAAGGTAATTTACCATCATGGATTTTAATCCATCACCCAAATCCCACCTCAAGAGGTGGAACTTCCAAGTCCGTGGGGTCCACGGATTTGGAACCCCATAAGTGGCGGGACCCACAAATTCCATCTCCCTAATTCCCTAAGGCAAACGATGGATTTCCGTTAAAGTCCATGATGGATAGATTTCCATTACCAAATCCATCACCAAAACCCTCAAGCAAACGACCCGTAAGTTATTTAAGGGGTAATTACAGTTTCAGATGTCAACGATGAGAGGAAGGAGATGAGTCGACAAGGGTAGAAGTGATATATTTGAATTTTTTTAGCTTTATTTTATTTTCTTCGTATATTCTTTTTATTTATTTTAAAGTAGCAATGTGGGGGTCTCTCTCTAACAACTAAGGGTGCTAATCGGATTGGTTTGGTATAAGTTCACCATTAAACAAAAAATGCATACAAAAAATCGAACCAATAAAGCCTATCGATTTATCGCCTGTTATCGGTTCGATAAGAAATTAGGCACCAACAATAACAATAATTCAAAACAATTTAACTATACTTCTATATTTTAACATAAAATAATAATTATAAGCAATAATATCAATACAATATCCACCATTATTTCATAATCTAAATCCAAATCCCAAATTCCCAACATATAGAATGAAAAATAATCAATGTGTTCATCCAATTAGCGAGTGGCAACTAGCAATACATCAAACACCACAATATCATAATATCATATAATCATTGACAACCATCAAAGAAACGAAGACTACCAAGTGCGAGGTTTGCTATTGCGACTATGAAGGAGAGTTGGAGAGGGGTGACTTGCAGCTGCAGTTTCTGACTATTTGACACATTTGAGACTTTAGTGGATGGTCGTTTGGAATAGATGTGGATTACGATATTAGGAATCGCGATTTTTGTTGGTCTTGAATATTAAGACATTTTCCCTTAGTCAAAACCCATATCGAACTATTATGAAACTATCGATTACCGACTAAACATTTTCGAGCCATACGAGTAATCTACTTTGAATTTGTGTCATTATTTGCATCAATTTGTAATCTTCTACAGAGAAAAATGAATTTGTAATAATATTTTCCAAATTTCAATCAGACCGTTTCAATTCAAAATGTCAAAATGTGGACCAAAACATAATTTACCCATTTTCTTGGAAGAAGGCTTGCGTGATCAGGCATCTATGAAATTTGTTAGTTGTGGCTAGCTTGTTGTGGGTAGCGTGGGTGCAAAAGTACCGAATTAAGGGAAGAAAATCTGGTCTCTTCCTATTAGTACTGTTAGTACTTGGATTTGGAGAAAGGTCCTCAAATGTCGAGGGCCGGCGCAACAACACATATCTGGTTTTAGGACACATTGGCATGGGTTGGAGTCACTCTAGCTAAATACTCGGTCAAGCTTGTCTGGGAATCCATTAGAGATCCCTCCCTGAAGGTTACATGGTATCATGCTGTCTGGGGTAAGCCAATCTTTCCGAAACATAGTGTGTTGTTGTGGCTTGTTGTATTAGACAGAATCAAAACAAAGGACAGGTTGTCTAAATGAGGGATTCATTGTGATAGTTGTTGTGTACTTTGTCCTGAGGGTCTTGAAAGTGGAAACCATTTGTTCGGCATCTGCTCTTTTGGTTCTGCAGTTTTGAAGAAAGTATTGCACAAGGTTTGTGTTTGGTATGAGTTTGGGGATTGGCATTCGCAGTTGGTTTGGGCAGATCAATAATGGATGCAGACAAATGATGCAGCTGTTGTTGGGTGACTCTTATGGGTCACAGGAATAAGTTTTATACGACGAGAAAGGTGTGCGAGATTGTATAGTATCTCAATAGCTCTCTCCCCAGATGAAGTCTCACTCAAGTTATTGAAGGAGTTCACAGTGTTTGCTCAAAGCCATGTTCCCTTCCGTTTGAGAGTACAACGAGTGTTAGGGAATTTATTTCAGTAATATTTGTTTTCATTTTCTACAAAAATTTGATGGTCGTAACCGTAAGTTGACATTTTGAGAGGGAGTTTACGAGAACTCCCCGGACTTCAATACAATTTTTGATTAACCATACGAAAAATAATCTACTTTAAATTCGTGTCACTATTGCCTCAACAACTGAATTTGTAACCTTCTATTAAGAAAACAATGAATTTGTAATCATATTTTCCAAATTTGAAATTTCAATCGGACCGTTCGGATTCAAAATGTAAAAAATGTACCAAAACGTAATTTACCTATTTTCTTACTTAATAGTTAATACCATTTCAGCACGATTCGGTTTCTTCGTACCCGTTGGTTCAGGTGATGCAGAAAAACAGAATAGTTCTTAGAAGCTCCCCACCGGCAACTTCCTTCAGTCCTCTTCTTTATCCACAATTATTCCAAAATTTCCAATGCCCTACGTCCGTCCGAGTTTCAAGCATCTCTGATCTCTCTGTAGCTGCCCTTTTCATCCCTCTCCCTCTCTCTCGCTTTGTCATCATCGGAACGCAATCGGAAATCGGCATCTCGTCGGAGCTTCTATAAACACAATTCCCAATTCTCCCAAAACTTCACTCTCCCCTACTGATCAATCAACCTTCAATTGGATCAATCCCACCTCTGTTCGATCGCTCCCAATCGAAAATTCGCCATGGATCCCAACCCCAAATCCTTCCCGATCCTCTCCTACGTCATGCAGCGCCTCCCGTCGATCAGCCCCAGGGCGGCCCTTTCCCCCTCCTCCGCCGCCTCCGCTCGTCCTCCGCTCACCGCCTTCGACATCGAGCAACAGCCGCTCCGCTCTTCCTCCGCCTCCTCTTCCCCTTCCTCGTCGCCCTCCGGCCAGACCCGCCTCCTCTCCGCGATGCCCAATCTCAAGGACCCGGAGCTGCTCGCCTCCATGACCACCGCCATCGCCGACGTCTCCCAGACCCGGGCCATCCTCCGCAGGCTCGGGCCCCGGCCCGACCACGAGACCGTCGACGACGCCAAGGCCAAGCTGGCCGACATCGAGGCGAATCTGTCCAAGCGCCTCGAGGAGATCGTCCTCACCCCGCGGCCCGAGGACGTCGACCGGCTGGATTGGAGGGAGCAGCTGGCGAAGAAGGAGGACGACTGCCGGAAGATCGCCGAGAAGGAGAAGAGCCTCTACACAACGATTGTCCAGCTGGAGGAGATGCACGTTGGGTACGATAAGCTGTTGAAGGAGGCCGAGCAGCGGCTGGTTCAGATGTACGAGAACGCCGAGCGGGTTGAAGGTGAGGAAGAACAGGCACCCCCCAAGGAGGAGGTGAATGAAGACGTCGTTAGGGTTCTTCAAGAGGCTTCGGGGAAGGGAATTGATAAGGTGGATTTGTCCGCCAGGAAGCTCAGGTACTTGCCCGAGGCATTTGGCAAGATTCATGGCCTCAAATTGCTTAATCTGTCCAACAATCAACTTGAGGTTAGTGATACACTCTCATTCTTGTTTGCTTGTATGATACATTCCGTTAGGTGAAGAGAACAGCACGTATGCATGAATGGCAGAAGGCAGAGTTCCGTTAGGTGTATTCTGCCTGTTAGCCTGATGAATCGATCGTTGAGTGTTCTGCTGTTGGGAACTTTGAATGGTTGGATTTTGTCAAATTTTTACTGTCCTCCTGTAAATCAGAAGGGTCTCTAACGGGACAAAGGAACTGGTAGACTCATAGTGTCGAGCTTGTGAGGTCTTGGAATGGCTGAAATTATAATCTTATGGCTTTTGTTATTAGGTTGTTCCCGAGTTTCAGCGTCTCATATTGACTAGCTGAATGAATTCTTGAGGGTCAATGAGAATAATTTGATACAGGTTACTCGAGATCTGGAAATCAGGTTTGCCATGTGTAACGTCCTGCCCTGTCCCTGAAAATGAGAATTTTGCGCTTCTAAACACATAAGCTGTTCATTGATCCTACCAATTGTCCAATTGTATCAGTTCCCCTATAAGTGTGTGCAAACACACTGGTTTGGGTTGCAATCTCTTCATACCAATCCTTTGATAGGGAGAAATGAATCAGAAAGAAAATGTCATAGGAGCTTTTTGTCTTCTCCTCGCATAGCCCTCTGCCATTTTAGTGTTTCACATGTTCCATGTGAGATTCAGGATTGAAGCAGGGTATTGCCTTGTAGGAGATTGTGCTTAATTATGAGTGTGATGTGATGCCAGATCCTTTCTTTCTCATCCTTGCCTGGCTGTTCCATCTGCAAAAAATATTTACCAAAATGCAGTGGCTTATCCATTTTGGATAATCTAACTAATGGCTAGAACAGTCCCTTATTTTCATTTCTGGGAGTAACTAAAGCATCGAACTTGATGTTCAAACTGTTCCAGTAAAGGAAAGTAAACACTGTTTCCTGAAATGCAAAATGTATAATTTCTGATAGCAAATTCAAAGGTTTAATATAAAGAAGCTTGAGGTCCTATTAATGTACAATAATGGTTACATGAGATTTCAGTAAGAGCACGTAGATTGAACCAAGTCTCTGAATAGTTTGGTTATATGGATATGTGATGTACTTTCTGCGCGTACAGATGGTTCCTGACTCAATAGCTGGGCTAGAACATCTTGAAGAGCTCAACCTTGCTTCAAATCTGCTGCAAGTGCTACCCGATTCAATTGGATTGCTGCTTAACATGAAAGTCTTGAATGTCTCCAGCAACAAGCTAGAGTCTTTACCAGACTCCATTGCTCACTGCAGGTAAAAATTCAACTTTATGCCGGAGAAAAAGGCAAGGATATCATATCAGCTGTCCATTTGTCTTGTTTCACTATACATTTTGATGAGCCTACTTTCAGGTCGTTGGAGGAATTGGATGTGAGCTTCAACCGACTTACCTACTTGCCTACAAACATCGGGAATGAGATGGTGAATCTCCACACATTCTCTTTCCAGCTAAACAAGGTCCGATCTATCCCCATGTCCATTGGCGAGATGAAGTCGCTTCGCCATCTTGACGGCCACTTCAACGAGCTCAATGGCCTTCCACACACAATTGGGAAGCTGACAAACCTCGAGACCCTGAACCTGAGCAACAACTTCACCGACTTGAGGGAGCTCCCCGAAACTTTTGGCGAGCTGTTGAGCCTCAAGGAGCTCGATCTCAGCAACAACCAGATCCATGCGCTGCCCGATACCTTTGGGAGGCTGGAGAATTTGGTGAAGCTGAACTTGGAGCAGAATCCTCTCGTGGTTCCGCCGGTGGAAGTGGTGAAGGAAGGGGTACAAGGCGTGAAGAGGTACATGGCTCAGAGGTGGATTGACATACTGATGGACGAAGAGAAGAAGGCCATACTCGAGACACAAGAGGAAGGCGAATCGGGATGGTTAACCCGCAGCACTTCCTGGTTGAAGAACACCGCCGCGACTGTTTCTGGGTATGTCAGCCCGAAAGCCCCCAGGGATCCTTATCTTGATCAGCAGCTATAAGAGAATTCTCCCAAGTTTCCCCTCGGCAAATTTTTGAGCATCCCACTTGATATTGTACTACTTGAGCTTTTGGTCGTTTTTCTGGTTTGGTTTTCCATCTTTTTCAAGATAGAAAGAGAACAGTAAAGCAAGGTTTTTTGTTTCTCATTTCCCATTCAGTCATAGACATGTCGCAACAGGGGCTATAGTTTCTTTCATATGAAATCCAATCTCAGTTTTGGTACACGAGGTTAGTTTTTTATTTAGTTTTGCACGTTCGATGTTGATGTATGAACTAACTGCTGCTATGCTATTGATCAATCCGTGAAAGTTGTCAGGAAATAAAGAATTTGTTAGAAATATAATCTACCTTAAACATCATTATAATTGTTATCATTATTTTTCTGTGAAAATTATTATTATTATTATTATTATTATTGTTATTATTATTATTATTATAGTTTGGTGTTCGGAGGTATGTCATTTAAATACGACGTGCAAATATGTATTCTAAACTTCTAATTATTTTAAATTTAATTTCAATTTTTAAAATTCTGATGATCTTTCATTAAAGATAGAACATTGCATTGTTAATGGTTATAATCTCGCGAATATCATTCATGACCTGTCTAAAAAAGTGTAGCACAAATAGGAAACAGATAACTAAAACATTTTAACTAATATTTGTTTCTCTAGTTTGAGAAACAATACATAGTAATATAAAAAACTTTTATATTATTATAAGCAATGGAATAATAAATTAATAAGAAAATAATATTTCTCATCCATACTCTATGTTATGAAAAAAATATTTGTCAACCAACATAAACAAAAATTAGCTGAAAGACAATCTTATTCACTCAGACAAATAAAATTAAACCTTTATTGTAGTAGCCACCCTACTTAGAATTAAACATTTATCATTGTGATATGCTTTTGGTTGTGTTTCATGTATTTTGAGAAAAACATCTTAGAATATATACCACCTTGCTCAAGTTGGAGACGTTGTAGATTAGTCAGGAGTGTAGACACCACATTTTGTCCGGTTATTGATATTACTTGTGAACGATGGTTGAATAAAGACCGAATCAAAATTATAACGATTGGATTTTCATTAGAGGATTCGTCGTTAACAAATTTGGATTTCCTTACAAATACATAATATCTTTAGAACATTTGAACTCGTATGCAATTACAATATGTAATACAATGGGTCAGAAGTTCCTATATACAATTAGAAGAAGAATCAAGGAAGGCCATCACTTGGAACACCGGAAGCCTGCAAAACAAAGAAGCAAATCAAACTATCAGTCCAAGTTCAAGGCATCTTAGCCCAAACTCGGCCCATTTTGAGCCCAGGCGAATTCATGATGCAAGACCCAAAGTAGACTTGACTCCAGCCCAGGTTGGTCCACAAGCCCAGGAGACTAAGTCTACAGACTGGTTTGGCCCAAACTACCCTCGGCCCAAACACCACTCAACCCAAGTTGGCTCATCCTTATCCACTGCGATCAGTCAGAACCGACCAAGCAAGGTGGACACTTGAGATAAAGCCTCAAAATCGGCCAACGACCTAGTGACACGTGGCGTTTTCTTTTGCTATAATAAGAGCTCAAAGTGTTCTTTGTTTGGGGGACGGGGAAAAAGGGAAAGAAAAGAGAGGGGAGAAGAGAAGAGGGAGATCATCTTCCTTTCTAAAAGAATTGATAGAGACATCTTTCGTTTCGTTTTACAATCGTTGTTATGGGAAGTAGATGATCCAGAAGCAAAAGCTGGGGATCCTGATGTCCAAGGTTAGAGATTGTACTCTTAACTCCTTCGGCTATTTAGTCAATAATACAAGCAGAATCATTTACAATTAATCTCGTCATGTCTCTTAATTATTGCTATGGTTGTTTACTTATCAATTCCGTCAATCCTTGAGCAGTCATAATTACGTAAATATACTTATTTCCCCAGCTCTTTACTTACCATGCTCACTTCCATATACATGATAGTTCTATTTTTACAAAGGTGTATGTTAGATTAGAATTCCTAATTTGCCAGAGACTTCCCTCTAATCCGTACACTGCCTTGAATATCCTTTTTAGCATACACTTAATACGCTAGATTAGCATAGATGCAAACAAGGTACAGTTCAAACGTATGAACCATTATTAAGGTAGTAGGTACATGTCCATATCTAGATCTAAAGTCACCATAACATAATTTCATATACCATTCAATCTTTGAAATTAACAAATCATAAAACTCCCAATCTAACTAACAATAATATGATTAGTGAAAACTGTAGTTTGTTTTAGGCTAGTGATCACAACCAGCAGTGGCGATGACTAATAAGCTATAGCTTTCTTTCAAATTACTTTGATTTTTCAATGAATTGCATATTTAAAAGCCAAAGAATACAAGGATTTCTAATCTCCTATTTCATAGTTAATTCCAGACCCATAAACCCACAACCGTTTTTTTTTTAAATCAATCCGAGTCTAGCAAAAATCACAAGTAATAGTAGTTTATTTATAGTCACTCGTTTGCCAAAATCACAAGAGGCGGTTGTGATTTTAGAAGGAAAACAGGTTTAGTTGCATTTTTTAGCATAAAAATCAAAGTGATTCATGGGTGACGTCCACAGTTCCTAGATTTTATCCTAGACCAGGAATACATATAATCATATTTACCAGAATCCAAATTTGTAGAGTAGTTCAAATTCACCATAAATAATCTCAAATTCAAAGTTAAAAATTCCTAACCAAATTAACCCGAGTTTAGGACAACCTTACCCAGATCGGTCCACTCCCATATCCTGCACCAAAACGAATAGAAGTCAGAACCAGCCAAAAATCAGACTTAGATCAAGAACAAGAAATAACTTAAAGAAAAAAAACTCCCCTGTCAATTCTGGTCACCGGTGAAGCTCGGTCTGGTGGCGGCCGATTCTTTCTTTGTCCCACCTCCACAAAAATACCCAAATAATAAAAATCAGAACCAAACAAAAATAGACCAATAGACCATAATAAACAAAAAAGGTTTACCTAGAGTTCCTCATCGGCGGCTTTAGCATATCCACGCCGGCGAGGTCAAGCCACCATCGCCCCCTCAGATCTCTTCCCCTCGTCCACCACAAGAAAAACTAAAACGAGTTAAACTCAAAATCGAGTGCAGAAACCAACTAAAAACGGACATGCATGTCTAGGATCTTACCTAGATCGAGACCTTCTAGGTTGATACGAGCGATTCCCTCGGCCAGACGCTTAAAAGAGAAGGCGGCGGCGCAGAGGAGAGAGAGCTAGGTCGTCGGTTTCCCTTTCTCGGATTAGAGAGGGAGAACGCGAGGGAGAGAGGAAAGAAGAGAGATGGCGGCGATTGTGGTAAAAGAGTAGGCTAGCGGCCGCCGTTGATCTCTAGGATTAGGGTTTCGGTTCGGCTAGGATTTCGTTTATTTGTTCTCTGGAAGAGGAGGGGGGTGCGACGACAGAGAGTGAGACGAGAGGCGAGAGATGAAAGTGTGAGGCGGCGGCTGTTTGGTTTATTGCTGGGGGTGCAAATGGCAAGAGGGTGCGAGTTGAGGGGTAAATTGCGGGGGGTTGCAAATTGTGGGGGGGTGTAAGTGGAGGGGTAAATTGTTGTTTGGATGAAAAAGTAGGGGGGTGCAAATAGAGTGAAAAGTAAGTAATTATATTATTTTAAAATAGATTTTAAAAATAGATTTTAAGATTACAAAATAGATTTTAAAATTTTAAAATATTATCATAAAATAATAAAATAAATATTACTATATAATAATAAATATACTTTACTAAAAATAGTTATTATATAATAATGCTCAAATAATAATTAATTATGACAATTGTATAATCATTGATCGAGCGATCTCAAAACTCGAAGCTCAACTTGTAACTGGTCATCCTATATAGGGTTTTCGTGTCTAGTTTAATCTTAAATTGTCAAACTTAGTCAAACACGTTCGAATTTGTAAGTTTTAACTATTTAGTCAAATAAACTGAGTTAACCAAACAATTTCTCTCTATCTTTTCCACAAACACCTCGTATCTCTAATTTTCAATGCAAATTAGATTCAACCAAGAGATTTAGATTTGACTTGACGAATAAACTTGTTTCTAGAGCCAAATGGTCAACCCCGAATAATGTTTACATTAATGATATTTATAAAAAAAAGAAATTGATAATATTAATTATTATATAATTATATATAACACAATTAGAAAAACAAAATTCCATAATTCCCCCTCCCCCTCTCTTCCTTCCTTCCCTTGCACCCCAATTTGGGGGGTAAGCCGAAACAGTAAATTTGCACTCCCGTTTTGCACCCCCCTACTGTTCCAAATTAACCAAACATGTGCAAATGTGTTGGAAACTGTATTTACCCCTCACATTTGCACCCTCCTCCCATTTACCCCTCTTCCCAAACAGAGTGTTAGGGTTTGTAGAGAGGTATATATACCTAACCTATTGAAACGACCAAAATGCCCCTAGGGTTACGGCGTATTTACACCCCCTTGCCACCGCGTTTTCGTGAATTTACCACCATACCCTCGTTCTGTCTCTGTGTTAAAATAAAAACAACCAAAGCCGATGATGGCCGAGTTTCGAACTCGGGTCCTCGCGCATTAAGGCCAAGCGCTTTAGTCAGTTGGGCTGCTGGCCCATAATGTGTTAATCTAACCATCCTGTTTAATTTTATTCATTTAAAATCCTTAATACGAAATGTTGAATACGAATTAAGTTTACCTTGCTTCTTTTTCTAATACATCAAAATACCTCCTAATAACTAAGATCCTTGCAATAATCAATTTAAAATTCTATTAACAAAATTATAGTACGAAAATCACGATCAGTGGAACGTGATTACTGATTATAATTAAGTTATCAAAGTTCCAACGAACTACGTGGACTTTGATCCCGTCTAACGGGTACGTAGGCAACCGTTAAGGTTCGAGTCCAACTAACCAATTAACTTTATCTTTAAATTGTACGTCAGTGGGCGTATAGTTAAATTACAAATATTACGATAAAATTATTTAATGGTCCAGTGGGACCCTAAAAATACAAAATTGTTACTAAAAACACACCCAACTCAATAAAACTTATCGACTTAAGTAGTACCGATTTAGGGCGTTGTGGGGTGTGATTTCACTTCCCCACACGTAACTGTACTCCCGAACCCAGAACTTTATTTTCGCAGACCATATCTCGGTTCTGACCCTAAGGTCAGAGCCAACCGACGAGTGTTCGATCCACTCCTAGTAAGATCGATGGCGACTCCCAAAACAGCCGACGCGACGACATTCGGACCCCCCGGAGGGACGGTTGCGACAAGGAGGATAAAATACAATACAAATTAGATGCAAAAACAAGTGATTAACAGACTTTATCATCAGTGGACAATAATCTCATGTCCTGTACGTGATCAGTAGCCTTCAAAATCCAAGAAAAATGGCTTTTCAAAAAAATCACCCGAAATTTGTGATGATACCCTTTGGAATCTAATAAAAATGGACTGGGGAATAGTCTCAATCAGAATCCATGATCTATAGCCTTCGAAACCAAAGGAAAATATAATTTCCAAAAAATTGCCCAAAATCTATGATGGTACCCCTTTGGAATCTGGTGAAAATGGACATGGGAAAAATCTGCCACAATCCTCAATTAATAGACTTCACCATGGGTAGAAAATAGCTTGATGTTGAATCAGTGATCAGTAGCCTTCAAAATCCATGGAAAATGACCTTTCAAAGAAACTGCAGAAATATGAGATGGCGTACCCCTTTGGAATATGGCGAAAATGGACCCGGAATAAATTCGCCCAAATCGTTGATTAATAGACTTCATCATCGCTGGAGAACAGCCTCAGGCCGAATCCGTAATCGGTAGCGTTCAAAATCCATGGAAAATGTCATTTCTTAAAAACCGCCTGAAATCTGTGGTGGTGCCCCTTTGAAATCTGGCGAAAATGGACCCGAAAAAAATTCGCTCAAATCGTCAATTAATAACATACTTCATCATTGATGGAAAATAGCCTCAGGCCGAATCCGTAATCAGTAGCTATCAAAATTTAAGAAAAATAGTTTTTCGATAAATCACTTAAAAGCTATAATGGTACGGTACCCCTTTGGAATCTAGCAAATTTGGACACGAAAAAAATTAACCCAAATCATCGATTAATAGACTTTAATTTTTAAGGAAAATTACTTTGGTTTTCATAATAATAATAATAACAACTAGAGGTGACTATACGGTCCGGTCCGGTTAAATTGGACCAAACTAATCCGGTCCAGTCCGATCTTTTCAGGAATATAAGGACCAAAGATTGGATTGGATACACTCCGGTCTTGACCCGGTTCCGTCCCAATTTGATTTTGATTGAGCTTGTGGGGATTTGAGTGTTGGGGTCTCTTATCCGGGTTTTTTTTACCTCAAATCTAAACCCGAATATGAGATTGGATTGTTTGCTATCCGATCCCAGTCCGGTTCCGATCCGAGTTATACGGTCCGATTTCGGATAAAACCAAACAGTCCGGTACCAAATTGCCAGCCCTAATAACAACAACATATACGTCTCCCTCCACGCAAACCGAGATGGCAGTAATATCTTCCAACTTCTTATACTAATAGAAGCGCGCATAAAAGTTCACCACTCGCTACCTAGCCCACGCCACGCCAACCCAAGCCCACACTCACATCACATTATATATACCTCCACCCACACACCAAACGCCTCAGACAGCCCACGCCAACCAAGCTACTCAACACTCTTTCTTTCTCTCGCGACCATCAACCAGTTGGTGCATAAAATCCTTGAGTAGCATCAATCGTCGTTATCTAAAAAAAAAAAAATCAATCGCTAAGGAATCACGATGAGCGACTCGTCGAAATCGATCCACGAGGAGCAGCAGCTGGAAACTCCTCTACTCGTCGAAGATCGTCGTCATCGTCCTGATCAGGACGATGACGACGCGACGACCACCACCACCACGACGTGGCAAGCAGAGCTGGTGCGGGAGCTGAAGAGGCAGATGAAGGTGGCCGGGCCGTTGGTGGTGGTGAGCTTCCTGCAGTACAGCTTGCAGCTGATATCGGTCATGTTCGTCGGACGGCTGGGTCAGCTCGCTCTCTCCTCCGCTTCCATGGCGACTTCCTTCGCCGGAGTCACCGGATTTGGCTTCATGGTAATATCAATCAACGTAACGTATCTCTAATCTTTTTTTCGCTCTCTCTTCCGTTTCAACTGCATAGATGGCGTGTAGCTTTATTTTATGAATTACTTGAACCACGATAGATTTAGGTGCCTTTTGTTTGCATCTTTAAATTAGAAGAAGCTAGCTGCATGCATTATTTGATTTCATCACTTTGAGACACGATGTATAACCGTCTTTGTGTTTTATGGCAAGACAGTTTTATTAAATAAACCTAGTCCAAACAAACAGACAAACGAATAAAGGGTCGCTCTCCCTTTTTGGTTTTGTCTTTCTGAAAGTGAAACCACTCTCACCTTTTTTTACTCCAGCTTTTGCGTGCATTAAAAAATATATGAATGACTGTATTCTGCAATAAGTTTAAAGTAAGATGGTGTTAAAGACAGGTGCTATTTAATTATTAACCGTGACTATATTATTAACGATGGCAAAAATATCCCGTTCACACTCTGTTCTTGTCTGATCTAATGCTGTGGGATAAAATGTGAATTGAATTGATACCAAACAGGTTTGAATATATTTTGATCTAAATTTGAACAGTAGTTTTTATAGCAGATGGACGATCAATTGTTTTTCATTATATTATCCTCGGCCCCCTTCGTATAAATTAATTTGTCGAATTTATAGACTTTCTTTGTAAATAATTACTTTTTTCTAGGCACATATTGCTATGGAGAATATACATTTAACATTATGAAATTATGAACATGAGTTGGTCACTTTCTTTTCTGTAATCTTTTTTTTACTTATATTGTTTCAACTACATACTTTTTTATTTGTTCAATGTACATAAATTTGAAATGGTTATATATGTAACTAGCTATACATTAAATTTAAATTTCGAGATCAATATAAAAAAATAAAAAAATATAGATACCCTTTATTATTCAATAAAATGTGAGTTCGGTTTTGATTTAATTACTATATAAAATATTATGTGTGATCTTAACATTAGTAAAATCCGAGCTAGATACACATAACTATTTTTACACAACCCAACCTGATCTTGATTTCTTTGAGACATAATGCTTGTTTCAATATTTGACACAATCGAGTTGTTTCAACCTGGAATTCCAGCTTGGATTTACTATTATAAATATTGAAGCTTTCAAAATTAACCAAATTTTCAAATTAGTATATAACAATGGTACATGTACGTACCAAATTAGAGAGGGTCGATTGGCGGCACATAATATATATAATAATAATACCCATAACTTACTGTATTATTTGATTCTCTGAGTCTCTGGAATCATCCAATCCTTGACAGCTGACAGGGCATAACAATAATCGATAAACAAAACATTACAAAAAATTTATTGTTTTCCACTGACTGACAAAACCCATGCATGCAGATGGGGATGGGCGGCGCGCTGGAGACACTATGCGGACAGGCCTACGGATCGGCCCAACACCACCACCTCCTGGGCCTACACCTCCAGCGAGCCCTCATAATAACGACAATCCTCTCCATCCCGATCTCTCTCCTGTGGGCCTATACCGCGCGGATCTTCCTCTTCCTGGGCCAGGACCCGCAGATCTCGCGCGGGGCCGGCCTCTACGCCCGCTTCCTCATCCCCAGCATTTTGCCTTACGGCTTCCTCCAGTGCCAGCTCAGGTTCCTGCAGGCCCAGAACCTGGTCTCCCCCTTGATCCTCAGCACGGGCCTCGCCACCGTCTTCCACGTGGGCCTCTGTTGGGCCCTCATTTTCCGGCTCGGGTTCGGGAACGAAGGGGCCGCGCTTTCTGTTGCCGTGTCGTACTGGGTCAACGTCGTCGTTTTGGGGCTCTACACTGGGTTCTCGCCTAGTTGTCGGATGACGTGGACTGGCTTCTCCAGGGATGGCGGCAGGGGTCTTTGTGGGTTTCTCAGGCTTGGTGTCCCCTCTGCTCTCATGGTCTGGTAAGGATTAAGACTCTACTTACTTAGGATGATTTCTATAGTTACATGCTAAAATTTGATCCTAAAAAGCTATCGATAGCCCTCGATTTATCTGACTTTGAGAGTCGAGCTAGGTCAGTTTAGGATCGGGTTATCTTTGGATCGTGTAAGAATTGGGTAGGATCAGGTTAACATAGGGGTGAGTCACTTTTTGACCTTGTGACCCATTGCAATAAGTATTGATATGAAAATCTACCAACACAAACACATTGAAATTGTTGGTAAAGTTTTAAAGTTTAGGTACTATAATGCAATGTAACAAACATAAAGATACCTAATCCAAATTTTACCACCAAAATATATGGATCTTTCTGCGGAAAAAAAAAGTTTTGGCGACTTACCCACCAGCCTTCTCCTTTCAAAGAGCCTATCCAAAAGAGAATCCAGTACTTCTAAGTAGTAAATACTTGAATAGGACGAGAAAAAAAAAATTTGAGTACCAAAATATAATTTTCAAAAAATTAGTTCTAACCATCGACTCGGCCTGCACCGACCGTTGAGGGTCAGACATGGTTAAGAAGGAAACAGGAGAGGAATAGGTAAGTTATATAAGTTGACCCTTCTGAGCGAGTCAGACAGGATCAGAGTCGAACCAATTTTCAACCCTATTAAACCTGCTACAAAAGGGATTTGAACTTGCTTAGAGAGATGACTTTTTTTATCGGGGTGAATTTATTTTTTATCCAGCATGCTCTCATTGGTTCAAAATTTGACACTAGATGCAGCCTGGAGTTGTGGTCGTACGAGTTTCTAGTGTTCATGTCGGGACTCCTCCCCAATCCCATGCTCGAAACGTCCATGATGTCGCTCAGCATAAGCACGACGTCGGTAGCATTCAGGATTTCCTTCGGACTCGGCAGTGCAGTCAGGTAAAGCAAATAATTGAGCCATTCATTCTTTTCATCTTTTCGTTTCCTCTCCTTGTTCATGATAAAGAACATTTCTCTCTTTTCTGCAGCACCAGGGTGTCAAATGAGCTGGGTGCTGGGCGGCAGAACGCGGCTCTGGTGGCGGTGAGGGCGGGAACTTTCCTGTCAATGGCGCAGGGCCTCTGCCTCAGCCTCATTCTGATCTCGGTGCGGGACGTCTGGGGTTTCCTCTACACCAACGACCAACAATTGGCCGCCTACATGGCCAGAGTCATCCCTGTACTCGCCCTCTCCAACTTCATGGACGCAATGCAGGCCGTTTTCTCAGGTCACATATATGCATTATGTTTCTGATCATCCATTAACCAGCTAGCTGTTGTCTGCTAACGAATGGGTTTCGGACAGGTGTTGCGAGAGGGTGCGGGTGGCAGGTGATCGGAACTTATGTTAACCTGGGAGCTTACTACCTGGCCGGCCTCCCTGCAGCCATGGTTTTGGCCTTCGTTTTCGGATTCCGCGGAATGGTACAGTACTGTAATGCAGATACCAAACCATGGTTTCCATAATTCGTCTTATTTCTGCTGAGACATGCTTCTATATGTGCAGGGTTTGTGGACGGGTATCATCTGCGGGAGTTCTTTACAAGCCTGTCTGCTATTCGCCATTACCATGAACACAAACTGGGGAAAACAAGTACTCATGCACATATTTTTATCATATACTTCCTTGCCTTTCAGTCAATTCTCTGCTGCTTGAATGCTGCTGGTATTGTTTTTGTCCTGAACATTTCCTTGGGTCCGTCTTTTTTATCCCCATTCTGGACCTTACAGGTAAAGAAGGCCAAAGAGAGGCTGTACGCTTCAAGTTATTTGTCAACAGAGACGACTGTTGCAGCCACAATACCTTGATCCATCCATTCATTCCCCTCCTGCTCCTGCAAGGGAAGCCCACACTAATTAACTCACAGTCACAGGAGTAAAGTACATACACATGGTGTACTGCACTGTTGTTCCATTCAAGAGTAAACTCCTAAAAATGGTGTTACAATGAAGAAAAACGAAGTAATAATAAAGGGGTTTTATGTCTGACCATCCTGTTCCAGAAACAACAGTACCACTACTTGTGAGACTATCAACACATTTCCGAGCTTTAACAAACAGCATAATTTTATCTGAACTTGCCGATCTAAATGGAAACATAAAGGATACCTTAGTAAATAGTGCATATACAACATTGCAACTGCTCTAGAGATAGTGGCCGAGTCGGTCAAAGTGGAGGAGAATCGTGTTGAATCCCGAAAAGAATCTCTCTCTCAACCAGCTCAAAGATCTCCCTCATCCTCTGGGAGAACTTGTCAGTTATGTTTCTGGTGATCCTCTGCTGGAACTTGGTTGCTTTCAGCCACGTGATCCCGACGTAAACGTCACACTTGCATGCATTGTGTGCAAGCCCAGATTTCTCAATCTGATACCTCAAGTTCACCTGCAACGCCCACGAACCATCAAGAGAAGAATCATCAATCAGATAACTTGAGAAACAACAGCATAACAGAGTCATGGTGATGATTATAGCAGCAGCATATGATTCGTTATTACATGAAAGTGGTCACTAAATGGGACGTCATGAAGCACCATGACCTCATTCACAGTCCACCCTTCTCCGCTGCCATCTGCCATGGTCGATCTCTGTTGGGTGCAACTGACATCACCTTCAAAGATGGACACTTGGCGGTTGAATTTGTAACTGACGTGCCTCTCTTGGACACCCGGCTTCACGGTTTCCCAAGGGGTGGTTGCATAATTGAGCAATCCTGATTTCCCCATGATTCTGTGCTCCATCTTCCCTCCTTCAAACATCTCCATGAGCTCCTTTATCTGCCCAACAACATCTAAAAGGTTTTTGAATCTATACAAAGAGCAAATGACTTGGATGCTTAATAGAATATAACAGTACAGTGACTGCTGCTCACACAAATCGGAAGCTCTTCAGAGTAGATCTTTGACATTTTGGTATCTTCAAAAACATCCATAATGGGTATGGAGTCCTCGACCATAACAGGTCTGTCACCTTCGTGTCCAAGCTCTTGTTCGTCGGCTATTTGTGCTTTCTGGTCAGGGGTCAGTGTTCTTGTTCTCCACAAAGCCGTAATCGTCCTAATTGGTTAACAATGCCAAATCAGGCAAAATTAATGGAAGAGCTGTGATGGATAACAACAATGTATGTCAGGCTGGCTTACCTGCTGGCCAAACCGAATGAGCCAAATGATTGAAAGCAGAACTCCAGCCTCCCCTGCTCATCTTGGGACTTGGCCCAGTGCCTTGCTTCAACTCCCTTGTCCTTCCGCAGAACTATGAGCAGCATAGGGCTGCCTACGGATGAAAGAGTTGGAGGGAGTACTTGGATGTCATCAATATCCTCCCAAAGGAAGAAAAACTTGGTTTTGTGACCAAACAAGTTGGCATAAAACCCTAAAATCCTTGCAGATAAGAAGAGCTTGCCCTGCACGGAAAAAGATAGATTTTGTATCAATGCTATTTTTGGCCATAGTCAATCCTATTTAAGTAAAAATGAACACAGAGCATCAACTCTGAAACTTGGTAACAACGGATTTGTAAAAAATGCACATTTAAAGGAAAAAAAGAAAGTAAATGTGCACACCTGCAAGGGTATCTTTCTCTTTAGTTGACATGTAAAGTCACTTATGAGGAATTCTTCTGGCGGCAACCCGAAAAGCTTTTGGAATGCTGAGTTCTTGTGAGGTGATCTTAAGTTCAACTGCCACATTAAAGAGAACTACATCAGATATATTTGCGCAAAAAGTACAGATGGACATGTCCACGGACTGACGGATAAATTATGAACTTTATTCAAGCAAGCGACCAGTTCTCATTGGCGATTATATAACAAGCAGGCAGAATTGGTTTACCTTCTTCCCAACCTCCCTTTCCATCTTAGTCAAATAATCTTTGATGGTCTCGACGCCGTTGTTGTTGTCTAGAAATATTCTCAAATGTAACTTCGATTGAGATGATTGAGCAAGCTTTCCCTCGAGTGACACCCATATATCTGCCAACTCAGTAGCTGTGTGCTTCAAAAAGTTGATTTCAGCATGCCCAAGTGATGTGGCCTGGTCAAATGGACCGTCAAAATCAAAAACTTCAACGTCTAGAACTGAAGGCGGTTCGTCCATGGCATCAAACTCAAGTATGTCTGCAATTTTTCTTCAAATAGCTTTAACACACATAAATTCATATCTTCAATACAACGACTGGAGAGAATGCACAAACGTTAGGTTAGTAAATGCCGTACCGTTCCACTGGGGGTCACTAGTTTGAAGCTTGATGGAGCTTGTTCTTGTTCTTCCATTGCAAGTTAACACCGCATAGGGATCACAGAGACCTGTTGAACCAATTGATGCCAAATTGGTCCCTTCAATCAATGCAACAGTAAGAACCCACCCATCACCTTGTGCTTTAATGCCATGATCACTACCTGCAAACCAAAATACAAATTTGTATTATCTTTCGCAGGACTAAACCTCTAGAGAGAGTCCCAAAATTGACAAAGATGTTTACCTCTATGCAACCTTGTCCCGATGAAATGAGCAGCCATATTGTAAACACGTTCCACCTGGATGAACAAGATAGCACAGCTAACAAGTTGTCCAAAGCTATCCGGCAAATCAAGTCCATAAAGCTCGAGTCCTTGAACTTTGCTAGGCTCGGATAATAATATATGCACCAAAACATAAAGAACCATAACAAAAGTGGAAACAACTGTAAAATTGCAGAAGTACTGCCATGCTAACTCCCAATCCGACTCATGTTCAGCCCCCAAACTTGCAAGCACATGCTCCTTGTCTGATGATGAACTCGCCGAATCCATCACCTTGAGATGCTGGGCCAACAGATTCTCAAACTGATCAAAACTATCCTTCAACCCCTGTTTAACTCCGCTTTCAATCACACCTTTCATCATCGTACTGTGGTGAAATGTAACTCCCCATGAAATGATAAGTTTACAAGAAGACTCCTCTTCTAAAGATAACTTCGGTCCAGGCAGCATCTTGTACAGTAACTCGACACTGAACGTGTTACCATATGGAACATCTGGCGTGATTACACTAACACGCACAGCAAATTCTGGACCATGGACTCTCACATAGGATTGCTCCTCCGTGGCCCTCACAGCCTTCACCAACTTCGTCGCAGCTTTAATGTAAGTAACCGTACGAGTTAGACCAACAGATTTCCAAGTCCATGGTCCCTCTTCCACATCTTGTGTTCCCTGCAACTCTGCAAGATTCTTCCTAAACTGCGAACCAGGCTCGAAAAGAAACCTATTGAGCTCAGACGAAGATAGTAAATACTTCTGGTCTATGAGCACACCTCCCTGTAAGTTATCAGGCATGTCCTGTTTCTCTTCCATTGAGTCCATCATGTAAAGACCCTCCTCAAATGTAACAGCTGATGGATGATGTTCATCATCGGTGCAATCCTGGTAATCCGAGGCACTGTTTAACTCGGAGGATTCATGATCTGGCCTAGGACTAGGAGAGCCTTCTTCTTCATGCTTCGAGAAAACCTTTTCCAGACTATGAGCAATGGATTTCATTAACTTCTTACCACCTGATATCTTATGATGCTGAGCTTTGGAGCAATGTGTGCCATGACCTGACCCCAAATGGGTTTCAAGTTCTTTCACATCCTCATCAGAGGAAAGGAAGTGCTTGCTAGGGGAATCATGGGTTTCATCATTCACACACATAGACAGAAGAATTTTGCCTGCGGATATGCATCGAAGTTGTCACATAAAGCGATTCAGGGTAAATTCACCATTCCACCAGCAAATCCTAGCATGTGTCTAACAGTCTAATAGCTCTGAACTGCGAATTAACTAGAGACTAGAGGAGGAAGACTAACCGGAATCAAGATGAACATGCTTGCCGGCAGATGGGGATTCGAGTGAGAACCAAGTAGGAGGCAGCGTCTGATTAGGCTCTCCGGCAACCGAGCGAACCGGAACTGAGACCCGACCGACCAAATCAACCGACCCGGCACCGAACAACCCGGCACCATCGTGGTGGGTGAAGACGGAGACCAGCAAGTTCTCATCGTCAAGGGCGTGAATAGGGAAAATGAACTCCTCGTTCCAAACCGGGTTAGCGGTGTTTCTGAGGACCCGGGTCTTGAACTTGCGCTTCCCGACCCGGAGCTTCACGACGAAGGCGTCCTTCACCGGCAAATCCCTGGCTTCCAGAACGTAAACGTATAAGTTCATGATGTCAATTGAGCTTCTTTTCAAGTAATCGGAATTTGCAGCGGCGGGCGGCGGCGGTGGAGGAAATTGGTGGTGGTGTAGAGGAAGGAGTAAAAGGAGGATTCGAGTTTGAAGAAGTAGATGGCGGGATGGGAGGAGTTGGCCATAGGGAGGCAACGTGGAGAGAGGAAGAAGGCGACACCTGGGTTCCAGCCGGAGTTGAGGGAAGACGAAGGGAAGAGAGAGGGAAGAATATTGGAGAGGCGGTTGGGTTCGTCAGCGAGCTAGAAAAGCAAAAAGAAAACCTCCGGAGTTAAGTGTTCTTCTTGCTTTCCACTAAAAACCGTTATATCCAAATCTGAACGTCCAGAGTTAAATTATTCAACTATTACCTAATAAAATTATTAAAATTTTAAAATATTATAGGCTGCATGTTGTACAGATCTATCCGGCAAATTGAGCCCATAAAATTCTAGAGCCCAACGACTTTATGGGCCCAATCACGAAATTTACAGCCAGAACCAGAACGTTCTCCCACAAGAATTTGTTTACAAAGTTGAAAGCGGAATCGCAGCAGGCAGATAAAGTCGTTATTACCAACAAAAAAAAAAAAATCTACCGACGCCGGCGAAAAAAAATGTTGCAGACTCCGGCGTTCATGACGCAGTACCCATGGTCGACGAGGACAGTGCCGTCGTCCTTCCTCATGTCATCGCAGCCTCCCGCTCAAACCCACACTCCGGAACAGCTTCTCGCCATGGAAGAGGACGTTTACGAGGAGCAGGTAACAACACTGCCCCTGCTGGCCTCGAACCCTAGTCGTGATAAAATGTCGATATCGCCGGTAATTGTCCGTAACCTAGTTTGCGAACAGCCGGTTCAATTCGAGCCAAGAAGGGGCGCGATTTTGCACGATTATCTCTTTTCCCCATGATCTCGAGCCGTAATTAGCTTCAATCGAAGTGATTAAATTCATTGTCAAGCAGTCAGTGAATTAAGTTGAATGTTCAAGCGATCCTATTTCCATGGTTGCTGCAGTTGAATGAGATCCAGAAGACTAACAGCAACTTGATCGTGATTGGGAAGACAACGGTCGACAATGATAAAGATGAGGATGATAATGATCCGGATGATGACGATGCTGACAATGCAGACGAATCTGAAGGCGAAGAGTTTGAGCAAGAAACTGGTTGAGGAAGCAGGCAAGAAAACCGACAATACACCGTACCTTTGTTCCACCTTTTCTTTTTGTGTGCTTAATAATGTCAGCAGCGTATTAAGTTCAGATGGTGAATTTTTGAATGAACAAGTTGTTTCTGCGCTTTAGAGAGTTGGAAGGAAGATGAAGTTTGTGTAGACGAGTTGCCAGTGATGGCTGCCAGTTGCTTTATCTTGTAATCTTTGCTCGATACATTTGGTTCGCAGTTTTCATTCCATACCGACCTCTATTACCATCTGCGAATTCGATAAGTATTCGACGAAAAAACACCATTCATATAATCTATAAACATAGCAGGGGAACAGAAGTCCCAGCCATTTATTCATATAAACCGAAAGTTCAAACACAGAGAACTACAGGACCAGAAGTTTTAGAGCTATTAGCAAACAGCGAAAAGCCGAAAACCAGAGCTACGGAAGATGTTCCAACGACATAAGATGACCCCCACTTATTTATATGCTACTTTTCATAGAGAACACTTAAAACTCAGAAACCGAGTCTCCAGCCCGCGGCTAGGCCTTCTCGCCAGTGAGGAGGTCCATCACCACACGCTTGATGCTCCCATTGTTCTTCTTCAGCAGCTTCTTGTTCACTTCATTGTCACAGAAACCCTGCACAACCATAATTCCCAGTTGTATGTCAGCACACACTTCCTTAACAAGGATTAAGGGCCTTCCGAGGAGGTCGGAATTTTTTTTATCAGTCAAGCACGCGACTTACCATTTCTTTCAGCTCCTCAAGGATCGGGTCCCACTCAGCAACACCACAGAGATCGTCCAGCGATTGGTCCAGGTCATACTCGTTCATCCTCAGGATCTCCTTGTTCAGATTCACCTGCTTGAACCCCATGTCCTCCAGCTCCTTCAGAAGGCTCTCCTCAACGGCATCCTCCACATTCTTGTCTTCTTGTTCTGCAGTTGGTTTGGGCATTCCTATCGCGGCAGGAGCACTTGGTTTGCCGATGCTAGAAGAGGGGCCGGCTGCTGCATCAGACAGGTCTATCATAGGGTAGGGCAAATAAGAGCTGCTCGACTTGGTGTCCGAGGGTGAGGGGTGATTCCCAACAAGCAAGGCATCATTAACAGGGAAATTCTTCTCCTGCTCTGACTTGGCCAGTTGATCGAAGATGTGTGTCGCAGTCACCTCTGAGGGTAAGGCTGAATCAGCAGGCTTATTAGTCGCATCTACTACAGTTTGAGGGGAATCAGAGGCAGCAACAGAAACAGGGGGTAAATTGAGGTTGAAACCCTGGAGACTTGTGCCAGAAGCAACCTTCAGGGAAGCATCCACCTGGCAAGAATGAATAACCACATCAAATCATAATCTACTACAACAAAAGAGCAACCAAAGCTGATGAAATGAAATTCCATGATCGATAAGTATAACCAAAACTGGAGCTGACATACATGGATAAGAACCCAGATGCGCTGACCAAATTTGGTGCCAGATGGTGAAACCAGTCTCCAGTATGAGATGTATCGACCAGGTTTTGCAGGAGAAGTAAAGTCAATAGCAACATCAAGTTCTTCATCCACGGGAAGACCATTTGCAGCAATCTGGCAAGTTGAAATGTTGAGCATCAGAATCAGAAGAAAACAGACAATGAAGTTCAGCAGCAAGCAAAGCCATGCAGATGCTCACCTCTAGCTCAGATGAATCAGTGTGGTTGAATCTGTCTCCTCCAATCCACACAAGCTGAGTACCCTTGGGCCACACAAGATTACCATTGTTGCGCAGTCGCCAGATTTTTGTAAATGGAGTAGATGGAGCCAGTACAGTACCATCCACTACATTCACATCTAAAACAAAGCGACTGTCTAGCCTAGGCTGAACAGATCCACCTTGTTTTGTTATAGGCCTGACTGGTGGTACGGGGCACGTCCAAGCAGAAGCCTTGAGAAATAGATAAATGAATTGAGTTAGAGAAAGGAAAATTGCGGCAGAATGTATATCAGCATATAAATTCACTTACAGGACAATTCGAGCCTCTGAAAGACCGTGAATGACGATAAGTCGCGGGCTTATCCATCTTGACATAGTCAGTTTCGTTACCCATTTGAGCAAAGCACATGCAGCACAAGTCATAATTTTCCTTTCTGCACAAAGAATATCAACAATTTAATATAGAGCCAAAATGAAAAAGAAATATATAATCTCCATACCATGATGATGGGATCAGAAAACCTACACAGTTGATTTGTAACGAGGTCCAGCAATGGGATGTATCCCGCAGCCATCACATTGAACACCGCGGTGGAACAAGCCAACCATGCCATCACTGCGGCTGTGGCTCCTCTTAAACGGTTTAAATGGCTTGAAGTGGGGAGGCAGAGGATGAGGTAGTGTGTAAGAGCTGTCAAACAGCCCCACCCCACTAAATGGGCATGAACTGCCCCAAGGATTCACTGTATCAGTAGGAACGTGAACCCCAGCACTTGGTTCTTTTGCTTTCTTCTCAGATGCCTTGTTTTGTGAAGAACTCTCTACTAATGGAGAAGAATCAATAGGCGGGTCCCGATTCAGATCAACAGGAGCAGAAGAAACAGGCTTTGATGGCCTTGACACACCACGTGTCCTGGCACTGGATTCAGCCAAGTCTTCTTGCATGCCACCACCACGGGAAGCATCTGGAACCGCAGATGGTGCAGTTGGAACACCTGCATCCTTGGTTTGAGGTGTTGCATTAGTCTTAGGCTCCTGAGGAGTACTGATGTAGGAAAGCCCGATCTTTGACAAGCTGTCAACAAGATCGGTCAGCACAGGAGCAGAAGAAGAACCGGCATTCGAAGCCAGGTCCAGAGACATCTTCGATAGTGCTTCATACAGAGGTTGCTGGGCTGATTTCGACACTTCCTTCACATCAATTTTAAACTGGGCACCAGAAGCAGCAGCTTTCGAAGCAAAATCAGTTGAAAATTTTGCAACAGCTTCAGCAACCGTTGGAGGTAGAGCAGACAGAGCAGGTTGCAGAGTCTTGAGCACATCAGCAACACTGCCCCCAACATTAGGTGTTGATGGCCTCTCGGTTGCAGGAGATCTCAACGGCGTAGAACTGCAGCTAGAAGCGGCATAAGAAGAAGCATCTTTCTCGGTCTTGAGACTGACATCCACCCTCAAGAACTTGAGGTTTTGCCTGGTGACATCTTGCAGATCAGAGTCATCAACAAGGGTCACAACATCCCCATCTTCATCGACGTAGGTCAGCCCGATCACTGCATCGGGAGGGAAGTTAAAAAGACCAAGGACCTTAGCCCTGAGACCCTCCAAGTTAAGGGCCAGTTGTCCATCCTCCCTAATAACAGCATTGAACCGCCTCAATGTGTCAGCATACCGAACCTGCAAAGTGGTAAACGAAGCCACTACGTCATCATCTCAGAAGCACAATCGGAACTCAGGAACCGTCAATTCATCGAAAGCTAGAACAAGGACTAGGTAATTCCACTGCTAGAAACCAGAATTGGCATGCAATCACCCCACCTTACGAGCAAAATTGAGCACAGATTATAAGAAGATACCAAGCATCGAGGATTGATCAAGACCGTAAGAGTGAGAAATCGTTCAACGAAGGACGAAAATCAAAGACGAAACAGGAAAGTCATGATCAGATAACAAGCAAGCAAACGAGCCACAATACCCCATCATGTCCAAAATCGCAACAAACCCATCGATAACGCAAAACCTAATCGCAAGAAGAGAACAGCGGGAAAGGGACGGGGGAAAGGAAACAACAGCGTTGTACCTTGATCACGAGAGTCGATTCCATAGCTGCAGAGCTTTTAACAAAGCTACGCGTTCCGGTGAGCCGCGCACGATCAGAGGATTGGAAGAGACCCTCGGAAAACCCTAGAGAGATCGCGAAGAGGAGAAGCAAAGACGGTATTTAAGGAGAGCTCTAAACAGACGCACACTCTCCGAAGCGTACCAGTAAGCCGCTTTTGCCGTGAAACTGATGAAGAGTCTCGCAACTTTCCCGGGTTTTTATATGAAGTTTTGCTTCGTGTGTGTTGGCTTAGTGGATAAGCAAGCAAGGGGAGGGGAGGTGGTCTTTGACGCAAAAACGCGGCGTTTTGGTTTCGTCTGGGCTCTGGGGTTTCACATTAATTTGTTGTTTCTTTTTGGGCAAGCCAGAGGCCGACCGGCTGACCCGGCGGAGACTCATCTCAAGGCGTTTTGGTTTCGACTTGGGGTTTCCCATTAATTTATTGTTTCTTAGTGGGCAAGTCAGAGGCGGATTATTAGACGTGGAAATTGGTACGATATATATCTCATTATCAAATATTTAAATCTCGAATATCGAATGGTGTTTCAAATCAATGGGCACCCAATTCTTCTTTAAAAAAAAGAATATGTTTTCGTACTTTTCGACTCTTAAGTATGGCAAAAGCCTCATCAAAATCCATGAAAAATTCATTGAGGATCTCTTTCTCTCAGATTTTGCCAATTGCTTTTGCACCCCGCGAGCAACCGGAACTATTACCCACTACATAAAAAAAATTAATAAAAGTTGGAGATTGGAAAATAAAAAAAGCCGTAGTTATGATGAAATGGTGGTTGTTGCTTCTTGTTATTGGTTATGTAGTGATGTTGTGGTAGGAATGACATTTTGAACCTCCTTCGCTGGGTACTATCTGATATGACCCGCAGTAGCGTGGAATGGGGCCTGGCGCATGGGTATCTACTTCCGACATGCCTTGTCCCGCTCCATTCTTGATCCATTCTCTCTCAGTTTCTTACAATATTTATTCATATTTCTTATATTTCGACTTTTCTTCAACTAATTAGACTTAATTTTGCATCTAATTAGACTCGACTAAGTATATTATCACAATTTTTCATTCATGAAGTATTTGTCCCTTCGTCTTATCGTGAAAAGTAAAATATTGCGCGTATGTTTTTCCAAATAACAAGTAATATAGTGGGTCGACTTGCCCCGCGTGGGTATTACTCGCCCCGACCTGCAATAGCATTGGGCAGAGCATGGGTATAGAGGTACTCGTCCCGCCTCATTGTCATCACTAGGTTGTGGAGATTGCGTCACTCTTCTGAGGCCTTTTTTCATCGTCACTTCCTACAACTACTTGTCGTTCTTCCTTAGTGTCAGTGGAATCGGCCTTCGTCTGCCTACCTCCCTTACAGAGATTTATCAGCGCCTTCTAACTATCCTTTTTTATTTATCGAAGTCACCCTGACCTGGTGAGAAAAATGGGGCCGCTCACACCCTCCTGGTGGACCCGCTTACCAGATTGGAGGCCACACGGTGTCGTTTTTTTCTTTTGACTTGCGAAATCCACCTATTTTTCGGTTGTTCTCTTCACCTAACCCTATTTTGGGATTCTAACTTGAATATTGATATTATATAAGTGTGTTTGTATGAGATTTGATATCATTTATAAATGTATGAACATTCTAAGGACTTTTTTCATATATCCGGACTAAAGCGGCTTAACTAAATTGACAATCTTGTCTTTGATTTAGAGTCGAATGGAGTGCCTGCATGACTGACACGTGGCTGGGGTTCTTTCTTGGCATTGAAGAAAAGGGGCATTAACTTACAAGTTGGGGGGAAAATGGTAGTTTAGCATTGATGGCAAAAGTAAACGCCGGGCCGCTCTACGATGGCAACGGTTAGGATCCCTTTCTTTTCTTTCTACAATTATTGTCTTATAATAAGCTTAGGGCCTGTTTACTTTTATTTCTGTTTCCTGTTTTTGAGAAAACAGATGTTGAAAACAGGTGAAAACAACATTTTTTCGTTTCCAAAAACAGCAGGAAGTTGCCACTTTCTGTTTTCATAGTTGGAAACGAATAGAAAACGGAATGAAAAGTAAACAAATTTTCTCATTTCGATTGCCAAATTTATGACATGAAAACAGAAAACAGGAAACGAAAATGAAAGTGAACAGGGCCTTAGCTAACATCCCTTTCTCGTTTCTTCCTTCTTGCTAGGAATGGCAATGGGCAGGTCCGGGGCGGGTTTCTTGGTACCCAGACCCGCCCCGTGGCAGGGCGGGTCCAGGTCGGGTAATTGATCACGGGTCGCGGGTCGGGGCAGGTCGACCCAATAGGTATGCAATTTATATGAAAAACATTAGAAATATTCGTTATTTTTATTATAAAACTAAGAAAACAAACAATATTATGACAATTATAGTTAAATTATTGGAGAAATTGAGGTTTTCACTAATTTACAACTTTATTATAGCTAAAATATGATGCAATAAAAGGAAAATTCAAAGTAATTTGACTAAGATTTCATGTAATTTAGACAAGAACAGGTCGATAATGGGGCGGGTCAGGGCAGGTCGGGTCGATAAGACTACCCATGCCCACCCCGCCCCGCCTACGGGGTGGGTCGGACCCACCCCAAAACAGGTCAAGCAGGTCGGGTAAAACGTGTCAGGTCGAAATTGTCATCCCTACTTCTTGCTCCTCTGCAACCAGCAAGTGCATGTTCAATTGGAAGTTTGGAACCCGTTAATTAGGCCCAATACACTGCCCAAATTCTCCTGGTGCTTGCTTTATGTGGACATTTTGTGGAGCCTCTCGGACGCATAACAAGACGTCCTAGAGAAAGGCCCGTCCAAACAGGCCCAATGTTTAAGACATCCCTTAGCACTTCCACCGCATCAATTGAGCCCAACTAATCTGCCTGTGCCTGCTGCTAAGTACAATTTGTTTTCATCAGAACATGGACAATTATTGGTGCCCGAACTTAATAGATTTCAATATATAATACTCAAAATTAATTTTTTACACATAAGTCCTCAAATATTGATAAAATTTTACATTTTAGTACCTAAAATTTTCCCTTACATTTTGATAGTTGAACTTTTTAAAATTGACAAATAGATCCGCTATTAAAAACTTGTGATGTATTTTATGAGACATGTGGTCTGCTTCATAGAACTTGTGATGTGCTTCAAAAAGCTCGTTGTATGCTTTTTTTAAATTTGTTGTGTAGCGAGGTTGTGGTCCCCCATCCCTTCCCAATTTTTAATGCTTTAATACGTTGGTCTTCTCTTCCTCTCTCAATTTCTCATAATGCCAAATGTGCCCCTTCACACCTTTCCCCTCTCATTAGTTGTAATCAACTCATTTACATTAGAAAGTCAGTCAAACTTCAAAAAAAAAAATCACTCAAAACAAAATATTCTTAATGGCCGAAACAAGTTTTAGCACCATACTAACAAAGAAAATGTTAGCATACTAGCCCCTCTCCTGAATCTGATCACCTATTCTAGTAACATTCTACACACAACTAGTTGTTCTGATTTTTGAAGCTTAGGGTGTCCATTTTTAAAAACACTCATCTTGTCCAAAATCACTAACTATTTGGACTAAAAACCAGTTCAGTTTATCCCCTTAACTATCATAGTTCAACGTCGGTAGGTATAACAAGGAAAAACTGCTCATATCCTGGCAAAAAAAAAAATCCTCTTATCGTTCAATCGGCTTCTAGTCAATCAGTGTCCTTTTCTTTCTTCCGTTTTTTTTATTGACCTATAAATAAAGTCCATTGTATTCTATCGTATCTTCCTATCATTTTGAGATATTTAAGAAAAAAATAATAATCTTAGGATTTATTGAGATTGGAGTACAAAAGTTGGGAAGACAACGCCATATTGGACTTAGATAATAGACCACACGCTATCTCCACCTCCTCCAATACGGAAAGAAAGAATTTTTGTATCATCACAAAACAAAGTAAAAACAAAAAAAAAAACATTACAACGATTCTCGTACCAAGGAAATCGACTGGGTTTCCTTGTGCTTGTTGTTGTCTTGTGGGAAAACCACCACTCTGTCAATGGACCTGACTGCAGGGTCGTTTCCCAGAATGACTCCTTGCTTTCTGATATAAGCCCATTTGTCCTGGAACAGGTACAAGAGAGCCAGCAGGCAGACTTCAACTGTGAGAGCTGCAATCCATTTTGTTATGCTTCTTGATGTCTTCTCATGGTATGCTACAAGTCCTGTGTACACATTGATGATGCCAAGCAGGCAGACTGTGGTTCCAATCATCCAGTGGACCAAAAACCACAAGCTCCTTCTCTTCGATCCCCTGCATGTATAGTGGAAAAGTAAAGGATTACTCTCTTTATATTCTCTCTCTCTCTTTCTCTCCCCCTATTTTTAGGGTAAGGGAAACCGTTTGATCTGGTCCAGACTGAATCACACATGTGGGTTATGATATCCAGATCGGGAAACTGGAGTATAGATAAGAGACCAGATCAAATAGTATACGGTGCAGACCAACTGGCCATATTTGTGTTGTCTGGACCATGCAGATTACATTGAGATAAAAAAAAAAAAGAATCGTTTGTTTAGTCAATCACACGAATTATAAAACCGATGACCGAGAAAGAATTTTGTTTTTTTTTCCCCTTGAAACATAAACTCTAACACACATGCATAATTTTGATACCATAAATCCAATTAAAATAATGAAAAATACAAAGTCAGAGCAATCCAACTTTTACCATAGATAGTCATAACTCATAAGCATTACCATTATGTTATATGGAGACACAATTATCTCTGCTCTGTGGTTGGGTGAATGAAGGAGCGGACAAGATACACAAAATTAGGTTTGAGACATGGGTCTCGTTGAGAAGTTGGGAGAGTTGTCGAGTGACATGCTAACATGAATTGGGAAGTGTGATGGGTCTATGGTTTGGTCTGGTAAATCGTGGTCTGGACCAAACCAAAAAATGAGAATACATGATACTGATCATAGACCTTACCTGATCAGATCATTTTTAACGGTTTATGATCATGAGAATACAACCTAATTTTCTAACCCTAGTTGTTTTGATGGGGGGGGGGGGGGGGGGGGGGGGCAATTAGCAGTTTAGATATGATAAACTATATCATTAACTTACATTGAAGGCAAATGTGCAATGTCCAACCACCCTATATCATGAAGTGCCAGCCTTTCTTTACTTTCCTTTTTCCCGTTGG